GTTGCGTGTGCGATAGAAGAGACAGGTCATCTGCGAAGTCCAGATCGTCCAGCTGCGTCCTAACTGTCCAGTTGATACCGTGCTTCCTTCCAGATGTTGACGTTTTCATAATCCAGTCGATTGATGAGCAGGAGAAAGAGAAAGGGTGAGAGTAAGCAACCTTGCCTGACACCGGTCTTTACCTCGAAAGAGTCTGTCACCTGACCTCCGTGTACGATTTTGCAGTTGAATCCATCATAAGAATTCCGTATGATGTTGACTATTTTCTCAGGCACACCGTAGTGTCGAAGAAGCCTCCACAGTGTTTTCCTATCCACGCTATCGAATGCTTTGTCGTAGTCGATGAAGTTGATGTAGAGTGGTGAGTTCCATTCAATTGATTGTTCCACGATGATCCGTAATGTAGCAATTTGCTCAGTACACGATCGATCCTTATGAAATCCGGCCTGTTGATCTCGAAGTTGGGCGTCTACGAAGTCCTTCATTCTGTTTAACAATACTCTGTTGAAGACTTTGCCTGGTATTGAAAGAAGAGTGATGCCTCTGTAGTTCTCACACTTGCTGAGATCGCCTTTCTTTGGTATTTTGATGAGGTATCCTTCTTTCCAATCTGATGGTACTTGTTCCTCATCCCAAATCTTCTTGAAGAGAATGTGAAATATTTTCGCAGTTGCTTCTACATCTGCTTTCATTGCCTCTGCTGGAATGTTGTCTGGTCCTGCTGCTTTGCCGCTCTTGATTTGTCTGATGGCCATACTGATCTCCCCAATCGTAGGTGCGCCAATATTAATTGGGAGGTCCGTGGATGCTGCTTCGATGTTGGGTGGGTTCAGTGGAGCTGGTCGATTCAAGAGTTTCTTAAAGTGCTCTATCCACCTATTTCGCTGTTCGTCAGTGTTGCTGATTACTTTTCCTTCCTTGCTTTTCACTGGTCGTTCTGGTTTACGATAGTTCCCGGCGAGCTTCTTTGTTGTTTCGTACAATTGTCTCAAGTTTCCTTCTCTTGCAGCCTTTTCCGCCGTCATTGCTAGATCTTCCACATATTTTCATTTGTCAGCTCTGATGCTATTCTTCACTTCCCTGTTTGCTTCTGTGTATGCAGCTTGTGCGGTAACTTTCTCTGCTGTTCTTCGGCTGACATTGATTGCTGCTTTCTTGTTCCTCCTTTTTTCAATTTTTTCAAGAGTACCAACAGAGATCCATTCCTTGTGATGGTGCTTCTTGCGACCAAGGACCTCCTGACATGTTGATGTGATTGCCTCCTTAATCCCTTTCCAATTGTACTCCAATGTTGCTTCCTCTCCATTGAGTAGATCCTGAAAGGCCTGGAACCTATTGGTGAGGGCTATCTTGAATTCTTTGAGTTTTACGGTATCCCGAAGAAAGGCTGTATTAAACCTGTGTGAGGTTGTCTGCCCCGTTGTCCAGTGCTTCTTTAGTTTCAGTTTCATTTTGGCGATCAGCAAGTGGTGATCTGAAGCTATATCAGCTCCTCTCATGGTTCTCACATCCTCCATGGTCCTTCTGAACGTTTTGTTGATACAGATATGGTCAATTTGGTTTTCAGTAGTGTGATCCGGTGAAATCCATGTGGCTTTGTGAATGCGTTTTTGTGGGAATATTGTGACACCAATGACCAGTTTGTTGAAGGCACATAGGTTTGCAAATCTCTCACCGTTTTCGTTTCTTTCTCCCAGTCCATGTCGTCCCATGATGTCTTCATATCCAGTGTTGTCCATGCCAACCTTCGCATTCAGATCTCCCATAAGAATCGTCAAATCCTTTGGTGAACATTTCTCGACGATTGACTGCAGCCTTTCGTAGAATTGATCTTTAACGTCGTCATTGTAGTCGTTGGCAGGTGCATAACATTGGATGATGTTCATTGTAATGTCCTGTTTCTTTGTTTTAGAGGATGCTTTAATGATCCTGGGTCCATGAGATTCCCATCTTATCAGTGCCTTTTGTGCATGTTTGGACAGCGTCAGTGCAACTCCTTGTGTATGTGAAGCGTTTTCCTGTTCATGATCAGAGTATGACAGCAGTTACCCTGAATCTAGTCTCAGTTGTCCTACCTGTGTCCAAAGCGTTTCACTGATTCCGAGCACCTCGAGGTTGTATCTTTTCATTTCTGCAGCAACTTGAAATAGTCTTCCAGTCTCCCACAATGTACGAACGTTCCATGTACCTAAAAAAGTGGTTGCTCTGGTTGTCAGAAGAGGCATCGGCCCCGTGACTTCCGAGGGAACTCGGCTTTCATCACGAGACGTCATAATTCTTCTTCCAACTCCCAGGGCAGAGTTAAAATGGTTTGAATTATTTTTTCTGGTTAGAGTTTTTTTGGCAAGTGAGATTTTGACAGAATGGGGACGCCAATCCCATGTCCAACCCTCCTCCTTTATCCGGGCTTGGGACCGGCAGTAGCCACTAAGGTTCTACTGGCTGAGTTATATGTATTTATTATAATATATTTAAAAGATTATTGTTATATACTTTTTCTTATATAATGAATGATTGAACATTTATTGAAGAAAATTACAGAATGAATGAATTTTGTTGTAATTATATTGTGAATTAAACATTTTTATTCACTAAGACTATATAGCTAGTTTGAGCGGTTCTGAAATCACAGTGATGAAAAGCAACACTGAAAGTTTGACTTTCAAGTTATTGGAAAATTCATTTCCTCTTTTGGTTTCACTACTCTATTATCCAATGCACAAACATCAATTTAAACGATAGACTAAGTATGTGATTATTGTGAAAGACAAATGATTAAGTTTCACTTTTGTTTGACGTTCATTTCAGTATAGACAATTTAATATACCATTTAACAGATGGTTTCACAATTAGGTGACCATGAAACTTAGTCTAAGGTTGGTTCATGTCAAATCAGTTCAGTCATCAACAGATTTGATCTATTCAAAAAATGTACGGATGATATGTTTGTAAATTGTGTTGAGAATGTCATATTATTTGACATTTCTCTCACTACCATCCGTTTCCAGATTTCAGGTTACAAAACGAAGTTGGTAAATCTATGGCATTCCTTTATCAACTTTCTACTGATAGGTCGCTTGAAAGCTCCTTTCACAGAAGACAAACATCGAACGGCACAGTGACCAACTTCTACAGCTACTTCTACGCAAAAGCATAAATTCGAGTTGCTGTTTATGTTAGCGAATGTGCAAAATTCGCAGTACGGAAGAACTCGTGTTTCTCATAGATACCTCAGATGAAAACGTGTATCCGAGCGGTTTAATAGAGAGAAACATGGAAGTCAGAATAAGAAATACTGAAATTATGTTTCAAAGAAATTTTTGTATACGACTAGCTATTAGAATTTACTTCTTTAGGAGACCTTCTAGGGTTACTACCGATCTTAGGCATAAATATAGGTGAAAGGTTGGTTGTTGGGTTCGCGACCGCATGCCGTGGCAAACTAAATAGCTCAAAAACTGCTAACTACAGTAAATTCTTCAAACCATTAAAAATCTGCCCTGGATGTTGCAATGTCATCATTTACGAGGGTTATGACGTCTCATGATGGAGCTGAGTGATTTCAGAAGACATATAGTGAAAACCTGTTTTCACAACCAGAGTAACATATAATATAGTTTGTTTGAATTTTCGCACAACGTGAGAGGCTGAAAGAACTACTCCAGTTGCTGATTAATGAATAAAAAAACCTGATATCACTTAGAATCAGCGCAAAACACTGAAAGCTGTTTGGATATCATTAACCAGATGCAATAGCATTACTGTATTACTCCGGCCGTGACAAAGAGAATGCTACACGTACTCCAGAAGTCTCGCTGACGCTTTTAAAACAGGCGCAAATGGTAGCGATACAATGGGAATCTTGTGGGATCAGGATCATCAGAGCATTTTCGAAGTCAAAGAAAGAGGACCCTACGATGAACGCCATACAGTTAGGAGGTTAAAGATCAATTGAATGACAGACTATATTCAGTCGTCGAGAAGCACCAAACAAGGACTTGGAGAAAGGAACAAAATCTTAGAGAGAATTTAAAACTTGTGTGACTCCAGCAAAATGGTCATAAACAACAGCTTATTCCTGAGCAAACGCATGCGCAAGGCGACATCGATCTCACCGGACCACACTATACAGAACTCAATCGACAACGTTTGAATCAAAAGAGAGTTGGCAACAGATATGGAGGACGTGAGGCTCAAAAGAGTTGCTGATATACACTCATGTCGACAAGATGTGGCTAAACCCTCAGGGATACTGGACTAGATCTACTGAATGAAGAGGAGGCCACCAAATAGAACAACTGAGAAGTGATCAAGTAGATAGTTGCTTCAATACATTATGAGGTTCCGAGCCAAAAGTTGAAGTATCATAAGGAACGGATCACTGTTGATAACTTGGATAGAATTCAAGAAACTAGGAGCCAGAATCTGGCAAACAATACCGGCTGAACAAGAAAAGGGAGATCCAGGTTTTAAGCTGATTAGACAGATCTACTGGATGGGGCATTGGAATAGTGGATGAAAGTTGAACAAATTTAGGTAAAAGGTTCAGTACGGGATAGGTTGGTGAATGCTATATTAGAGGTAACAGGCCTATGTCAGTAAGTAAATTTAGAAAATCAATGGTGACCGATTGTATAGAGTATTTGAAATGTGATGACATGTAATTACATGAGTTATTATAAACCATATTCACTCTGACATGCAGCATGCAATATTGTCATCAACTCAAATATATAATGTTCTTCTCATTAACAATTTATTATGTATAAAAAGGAATCAATGAGTGAATGGCTGTACTGTTGACAAGTGTTGTTGATGTAATCGAGAAGAAATGAAAATTCACTTGTATCAGTTGTCATATTCTTACTTACTGTTGATTATCAGTGAATTTAAATTTATTTATCAAGAAATACAACATGATGAATTGAACAAATAAAAAGATCTGTTGTATGTTAGCTTTCAAATAGATTGGGACAAAATATGTTCAGACTACAACTTACATTCGTTTTCATTGAGTCTTTTCTCTACTTCTTTCCGTACTATTTCCATCCATCTTCTCCAAGATTCTGAAACAAGCGAGAATAAGGTATTGGTTTGAACATTTACAATGTGATTATTACGTCTCACAGTAGTATATGGTAACCATGGAATTTTATCCATCCATTGAAAGGTAATATTGGTCGGCGAAATGTGCATAAATCAATGTTCATCTAGCTACACGACAAAGTATAACAACAACTGTCAATCATGCTTGTTTTTAAATATCACAGTAGTAAATACAAATACTATCATGATTATTGATAAGACGCATTCATAAATATTTACTACTTACCGCGTTCTGCAGACGCACAAACGAAGAAGAACAACGCGCTCAAACAAAACACAAATATGTAGTTCATTTTCTCTGAACCAACTCACTTTGTTCTTATGGTTTTATACCTACAGCAAACACTGTTTATTGGTTTATGAGGTTTGATAAAAATAAATGCCAATCAAATAATCAGGACTGATAAGATTATCAGGCCGATGTATTTTATGCATGATTCTAAATGGTTATATTGGACGAGTGTTTAAAAACAAATTGATTTACGGATATGACAATTGGCTGAGAACATTCTCGCATTCAAACAATGACTGATGGACAAAAATAGTAGTAGTCCGATGTTGTTTTTCTATTATTTTCTCAATAATTTTCTAAAACTTATCATCCTTATGGAGGATTGACTGCTCATCGAAATTCTCCAACTACCTTTGCCATAGACCTTCTTTCTCGATTGTAAACAATCGCTGTTCAATCTTCTGAAGTCCGATCTTTGGCCTGAGTGTTCCTCTGTCTATCACATTCATTTCGGCCATCCCAGTTACTATTATGAAGTTGTTTTGTGATAGAGCAGGGTGATTTTCATAAGGTGCCTGCTGTTTATCTCCTCCGCCTTTGCATTATTTTCGCTTCACTTAGGATGATCTCGATGTTTTCTGCCACAACATGTTGTGACTGATTATGTCCGGTCTATAAATCTTCATTTTATTCCGTAGAATATTGCCGATCAACACTATCTTGTGAACGTCGGGCACGCGTGACTTCCCAGCTTATAGCTTGCTAAACGTCACTGGGTTGATGAGTAGACCAAAAATTGTGAAATCGAGACTATCTCACAGTCCAAAACCACGAAATCGGACATGTGACAGAGTTCAGATCTTTTGATAGTTCAATGAGCATCCATATTTCACATACTTCATGGAGGAATGACATTGAAAGAAGATCTATTAGTGAATTTATTCAAAGATAACAGGACTTTTAAAATTTCGCTTGTTTCAACCAGCGGTATCTCACCAATTCCATAAAACGTCGGACTACGCTGTAGGCAGTTCTAACGGTAGCGCTTTTGGTTAGGTTATGTTATGTTATCACAGTAACGAATTCTCCTCTTCCTAAAATTAGTCAGAAGTGACATGATTTCGAGTTGACCCACTGTCGTACAGCAGAAATACACAGGTTTACTTTACAAGTTTCGCTGTCATCAGCAATCGATCCTTACAAAATCCAGTCTGTTGATCTCGCTATAGGCCATCTGCAGAATATTACTGTCAGGCTTTTTCAAATATTTAAAGAAGAATGATGTCTTTGTTTTCCTGATATTCATTGAAATCTTAATCTGATATGTTGATGAGATGCAGATTCTTCCAGTTCCGCGCCACGTCTTCTAAGTTCTGATCCGGCAGAACTAAGTGCAAATGCAGTAATAAATGTCAGTTATGCGGATGTGATACATTTGGATTCACGTAGTAAAATCTTTTGAAATAAATATCTCTTTTGGTAAGCGTTTGTAAGAATATGTTGTAGCCTTCACCAATTTTTCGGAGGAACAAAGATTTGTTTACGAAAATTCGCGGAAACACTGAAAACTGTAATCGACATAGACGTCAAAAGGACAACAGTTAGTTTCACTTATTCTACCACATAAAAATGAATTTTTCAACTGCACAGTCAAAACACACATGTTTCGAATAATATGTTCTGGTTAGTACAATATGAAGTGGATGGAAATTCTACGACTGACAGCCGCAAATAATGAGTTGATAGTCAGTCTAAATTAGTGAGTACACCAATCTTTCAGTGAGCATTTCCTTTAGAGAGAAAGATCTTGCACATCAAAACACTGTAATTGTGTGCATCATCAAGCCAACACACGACTAAGCTGGCATAAACCACATCATTTTAAACGTAATAAAATAGACTGCAATCACAAACATCGGCCGATAAAAATACCACAAATATTCAAATCTAAAAATAGCAGTGTCTATTTTAATAATAAAAACCAGAGTTTTGTGAACTTTTCCAAAAAGAATGATGAGCGGATACGATAGCGTGACACTCAGAATAAATTCCATTCTACTTACTTGATGTGAAATTTGCAAACTCTTTACAATACACAGTTGCACAATACACAATTGCCATGCTTATTAGCTTCCTGTTTATTTTATTACTAATATGCTGAATTGTCAACAATGAAACTACTTCAGAATATGTCTCAATGTTTATTATCGTCTACTTGACAATATCTCTATACATACCTAGGATTGCTTTGTTTTGAAAAGACTCTTCAAACAACAATAAGTTGAAAGATCTGAGATCTCATACAGTTTGGAAGCTGAACATCACTGCTAACGAAATCCTTGGGTATTCGCGTTATTCTACTATGTATTCAAGCAAGCATAGTGACGGGAATTACTCTGATGGCAAATGCGACTGATCAAATCAGCAAGCTGTTTACAAATGACAACAAATGATTCAGACACAATTTTAGTCGTTTCAGTGTTTTCTGAATTCATTCGCTATTATCATGGTTGATAATCAACATCTGTGCATGCAATTCACGCACATCAAAAGAAAATTGATACTGGTTATCTACGCAGCATATATTGTGTAATAGTGAAGGGTTTTTACATTACTGTATACTGATTCGCATTTGAAAGAGTAATGCAATTGTTATGTTATCTATTGATACATTTATTACATAGAGTCAACCTTAGCCCATTCATTTTCGTGGAATCAATGACATTAGATCCAGTGTTTACTGATTCAACACAATCAAACCGTTTGTGGCACTTCATATTAACGTGTATCACTCTACTTCACACGATACATATAGACTATCACAAGTGATATTCTATTGTTCACTAACGTAGCTATTGCAACACGAATTTCGTCAGTTACATGTACGTCTAAAATCAACCATTGTCATTCATTACAGCAGTTACCATTAGTTCACGATTACTTTGCTCCTCTCTGCCCTGCTTTTCAGTCCAGAAGTCAGCAACCACAGTGTGGAATGCTCCTATTTTCAATGGGTGTAATTTATTTGCACACAGACCAGAATGCATCACACCATAAGCTGAAAAGATACAACAATTACGCATGAACACGCCAAAAAGAGACTGTGAATAGAATAGACTATATATTATAGACTCGTCGCAGAATAAGCAGTGTTGCTGTATGCCTCGGTAGTTCATGAGTCAATCGAAAGCTCATGACAACTAGAATATATTCAGATTGAGATCAGCTTTCATTAAAAAGGTATTACTAATTCAAAAATCAACTTTTCCGTTTCCTGTTTGCTTTTTATCTGTTTGATTTTCAAACTGACACACAGATATCGTGTTCTTCGGCTAAAACTTTCTAGATTCATGATAATTCTACGACCTAATTAACATGTGATCGTTTTTAGCGAGCCAATCTTTCCACGAAATGCAGTCGCTGACCGTTTAACTATAGGGTTACTTTGACCATTGAATAGCAAACTTTCTACTCAGAATTTCATTTCAAGTCTAAAATTTCACAAATAATTATTCTCATGATATATTTTGACGATGTCTCGTTCGCTGAAATCGATAATTTCATTGTGGAGATTTCATTGTTCTTCTGAGAAGAATCATGAGCAAAAAACTTCAAATAGATGTAGTTCAGAAGTAGAATGAAATCTTCACAATCAAAACATCTAGCTCAGAGAAAGAAACGCCACCACATACGTCATATTAGTATCAGATTTTTCTGTCATTTCAGTAGTATCTCAGTCTACGTTGTTATTGAACAGGAATAGGTGTGAACTTTTTTACAGTCGGCTGAGTATATAAGATAGATCTTTTTTCACTATGTACCATTCTACTCATTTGATGTGAAATTTGCTAGGTCTGTAAGGCATGTAATCTTCACATTCAGATTCCTCATTTCACCGTGTTTTTCTTAAGTGTGCATTAAAATAGAAATTTTTAAATGTCAGAGAACTTCGGATTTTATTTATCGCCTGCCTTTTATGTAATAGCTATATTAAAGAATCTGTATATGTTAGATGTTTTTACTATGCTATATTCCAATGTAATTTCTGCACTTATAAGAAAAACAGAAGCAATCTCTTAAGCCATCAAAAGCATGTCTATTTGCCTACTTTGAAGTATTCTACTTCCAATATCTAATAACGTTTTCACAAGCTAACGTAAACGGATTGCTTATTTTGCGCTCGATTCGTGTTCTTTCAGTTCGGTTCTAGGTATTTCTTTCAGCCTACTGAATGAATAGTCTTGCGTCTTTACTAGTTCGTTATATTCTTACTGTTGATTCCTCTACTCATGTTATATTCTTTGCTTATTTTCAAGATAAAATGAAAAGAGCAAGGCCACGAAACACATTACGTTGAGAAATAAAGAATGATATGATAATAATGAACAAAAGTTGGACGGATTTTTTAGGGGAAGTTCAGGACAGAGTTAGTTGGAGAACACTGGTTGACGGCCTGCGCTTTTTTTCGGGATGACAGGCGTAGGTTAACAATTAAGAAAATCTTAGCCTGTCATTCCGAAAAGATTTATCAAGCGATAAAGCATTTATACGTTTGATAATATTTTGGGTGCCTGGTTGACACCCTTCTATCAATATGATAATATATTAACAGTGATGCGTTTATCAGGTAGTTTTTCATATTTTTGAAAGGATTAGTGCTCTGTTACATCGCCAGCTTATACGATGGTAAAGTTTGCTTTTACTCTGAATGAATAACACCGCAAATATACAAATCTAAAAATAGCAGTGTCTATTTTATTGGTGAAAACAACAGCTTTGTGAACGTGTACGAAGAATGTTCAGTAAATATGATTGTGTGATT